GAATTTAATATACAAAAATTCTGTGCATCTCCTGGGGGCCAAGCCCCCCTTGTCCTTAAATCCCAGAGACACCCCTGCAACAGAATCATTTTCCATGTTTGGCTTTTTTCTTCCCAGTTTTGAGARACATCCAAAGTACTTCCTGCACATTTTACTGCCCTTTTCCCAGTTTTTTATTTTCTGTGGCAACAATCCAAACACTAGATATTCCTGTTCCCATCATGAWCAGAAGCTGTTTGCTTTCCTCTGACTCCAGAGAGCAAGAAGAGACGAAGCTTTTCCACATCTGGAGAAGTTTCAGACCTGAGTGTGAAGCTCAGAGAGCAGCAGAGACCGTGAACAAGGCTGGGCTTGTTTCTGGATCAACGTGTTTTCACCTCTGTTGAGKCTGACTGGAGACAAGACAAATAAAGTCGACTTACAGTTTTTGCAGACTGGAGCACACAGCAGAGAGCGACGGAGTAGAGGAGCTGCTCGAGGGTGCAGATGTGGGAGTGTGCACAGGGTCTGGGTTTTATAAAGGGGAGGAGGAGGAGGAGGAGGAGGAGGAGGAGGAGGCACAGATTGGTCAGCTGAGCTGAAACAGGAATCTGTCAGAGCTCAGAGAAAATGAGCTGCAGGAAAGGTGGACTTGATGTTGGTGCCCATGTTTGTGTCTGTTAGCAAAATATCTTATGAACCATTGGCTTGGTTTTAGTGAAACTTTCAGTAATTCATTTTTGAATTTACTTCCATAAATGATTAATATTTTGAGTTAACTCAATTTAAGATGGCCACAGCAGCTAACTGATCTTAGATGACACAAACATGGCTTCAACTCCTTCTCTTTTACAGATTTTATGTTGAAATTTAATGTTTCTTTAGCTTAAAATAATTAGTTAAACACAAACTATAAGATTCTGACATGACATATTTGCCTCAAACTTGGCCTTAATCCTGTTTGTCTGTTAGCAAAATATCTTATGAACAGTGCTGGCTCTAGCCATTTTGGTGCCCTGGGCGAGTTGAAGCGGAACCCCCCCACACCCCCCCACCCCGAACTATGTCCCATCCACCCCAATTTGAACCCCTAAAAGCAAGTTTGACAGTGTAAGGTACTATGGTAAACTTAAATTTATTTGCTTCCCCAGAAAGCAAATAAATAACAACATGTATGTCAACTTGTACAGATTGTCTGTCTGTAAGTTATACGTATTTTACGTCATTTTGCAGGTATACGGATGTACAGAGCAATCTCATGGATTTTTTCAAGTCTTACGTATTTTTTCAAAACCTCATTTTCAAATTTATCTAACATGTTAGATAGATAATCATCCTGTAGGATGATTTAAAAAACAATAAATAACATTAAACAGCCATCTTCCAACTTGTTCTGACGCTAGAAATAAGATTTGAACTTTTTTCGCTCTCCTTTCCTCCTTCTCCTCAGCGGGCGCTTTCATGTCCCCAGCGAGGCTGACAACCCCCCCACACACACACCCCACCCCCCACTCCGGGGTGTGAGTTGTTTGGATTTTTTGCAAAATTTACATATTTTCGAGGCTTTTTATCCAGATAAACGTCTGAAGAGGTTGACATGTATGGGACAACAAAATACAGACTTGTTGTTAGTGAGTTTGTCAACACGAACCACTACCTGAGAGGCACTACTAGCCCCTCCCCCATCAGAGTGTCAGAGCAGGACGAGTCAGTGCAGCGTCAATCAAATGAGAGAGAGGGTGGGGGTGATTGTTGCATTCGGGGGGAGAAAAAGTTTTATTGGTAGAGTAGTTTATTTTTCCTGTAATACTTCATTATAGTTTTTTAAGACGAAGCTAACTGAAAGGGGTGCTGAGCAGAGTTACAACCAGGGATTACAAATATTTTTGTCTTCTGCAGTTCAGCGCTCCCTCCAGCAGACGGCGCTCTAGGCGACCGCCTAGTTCGCCTATGCCAAGAGCCGGCTCTGCTTGATTTTAATTAAACTTTCAGTCATTTATCACTGGATTTTCTTCTACAACTGATTAACTTTTAGAGTCAATCAGTGTTGTAAAAAGTACCACAAAGTGATACTTTTTTTGTATAAGTATCTTAACAAAAAATTACTTTAGTAAAAGTTAAAGTCTCCTTTAGGAATATTACTTGAGTAAAAGTCTTAAAG